TGATAGTCCAATCTTCAGGTCAACAATGCTGGTGTCACTATCACCTGAAATGCGTTATAAAATGATAGGTAGAAGCTTATTCAATAAGGGCAGTTTTCAAATAGACATCAAAGGACACATGATATGGGAACACCATCTAAACCCTCGAACTTCTCATAGCAAAATATGGACAAAGTAAATATACTGAACAACAAAAGTTCATGTGACATTGAATAAAATTAAATGTTTTACCTGATCTGAAACAATTTCGGTTTGCAACAGATAAAAGACTCCTGTAAGTATTCAAATGGTTTAATTTGCCATAATGCATCCGAAAATGCGTGATTTCATAAAAAAACATGAACATGCCAAAATGCCAATTTACAAATCAATAGCGTGTGTGTCCCCTCTGGTTGCACGCAACACATCTTCATCTCATGGAATGGACAAGGCGTCCATGCTGGAGCATGATTCGAAGTTCCTGGAGTGTCTGTGGAACACGTGGTTGACGTTGAAGGTGCCGATCCATCTCATCCAAGATGTGATCGATTGGTGAGAGATCAGGGGAGCGAGCCGGCCAGGGAATGACATTCACGTTGTTTTGTTTAAGAGAGAATCCTGAACAAGTCGAGCAATATGTGGCTGGGCTATGTCATGTTGAAAGGTGATGCCTAGGCCATGACGACGCAAAAACGGTAGAACAACAGGGCCGATGATCTCTTCGCGGTAGCGCTGTCCATTGAGATTTCCCTCTACCACATTCAAACGGGTCCTCTGTCTTGCTGTAATCCTACCCCATACCATAACGCTGCCGCTCCCGAACCGATCTTCTTCCATGACACAACGTTTGACGTAACGTTCACCTCGACGTCGGTCCACTCGAATCCGTCCATCGCTGTGGCTGAGGTGGAAACAAGACTCGATCAGTGAATAGAACTTGTGCCCAATGCATGGCCGTCCAGCGTAGACGCTGTCTGCACCACTGTTGACGTGTTTGACGGTGGTTTTCTGTCAAAATTGGATGTCTAGTGGGTCTTCTGGTGACAATCCCTGCACATCTGAGGCGACGACGTACGGGTTGTGAAGATATTCGTCGAAGGCCAGGGATGGTTCTTGCAGGCACTGTTGCTGGCTGGAATCGATTTCGTAGGTGTGTTGTTCGAATCCAGTTGTCTTGTCGATTATTGGTTACTCGTGGCCTGCCACTCTGAGGATGGTATCTGACTGCATTCTTCTGTTGCCAACGTTGCCATAAACACCAAATGGTGTTTCTGTGGACGTTAAATTGTCTTGCAACATCACGTTGACCCGATCCTGCTTCAAGCATACCAATGGTTCGCCAACGCTCATTTTCGGACAGGCATGGCATTTCATAATGTTGAGTAATTGCGTAATTTTGTTGTTTATCTGAGTGATTGTTGTCAGCACGGTGCTAAACAATGCATATGTAATCCCGTTAACGCACATGTTTTTATACCCATTCTTGGGTAGTGAAATGCATGGGGCCTGCATGAAAGTCAACTTTTGCATGGAATGCATGCTTTTCTGTAGCAGTTGCGTTTTTGACACTTGATTCCATACATGTACTATAATATTGAAAACAACCTTTACTTGTTTGAAAAATACACTAAAATATTGGTACTCACTGGTACTTTTGTTGTTGAGTATAATATAACACATTCAACTGAACTGATTCAACGAGGAAGAATAATAGAGTTATAATTACCTTGGTTGCAATGTTCCGCTTTCCGGCATTCCGCTATAGAACAGTTGAACGTGCAGGTAGAATCACACTTCAGTTCAGTCAGGTGGCAGCCTTTGGTGCAGGTACCAATCTTCTGATCACAGACACCATCAAGACACACTTCACACGTGTGCTGGCAGAGTCCACCATAGAAGCCACGTGTACATCCGTCTGTACACTTCCCGTTGTCCGAGTGGCACATGTTGTGAAGGCAGTTGACAGGGCAAGGTTTACATTCTCTACTGAAATGTCCAGGTACACAACCATCTACACAGTCACCTGTAGACTTGCATCGTTTATTGGCGCAAATAGGACTGCATGGAGAAGAGCACTGTTGACCATGCCAACCCTCTTTACACCCGTGGATACAATCCCCACTAGCTCTGTGGCAGTTAGGTAAACCAGCATGTGGTGCCTGTAGAGGCTTGCTGGTAGAAACGTTGGGGTCTGGTCCACAATTTTCATTGCACTTCTCCTCGCAGAAAGTCCCATAGAATCCAGGAAGACAGTCCTCTGCGCATCTATGTTCACAGAATCCCAGGCAATGATCACAGGAATAATCACAGTTTGGACCGAAATATCCTGGATGGCACTCCTTGCACAATCCTGTCATCCTGTTGCAGGACTTACATCTACTTGAACACGTCTTACAGCCAGTCCCGTAGTAGGAGTCTACACATCCAGACACACAGGAGGAGCCCAGCTGACAATATCCTCCATCACAACTACCTGGACATGCTACACAGGTACCCCCTGGACTGTCACAGCGTATGCTGCACCCAGGACCTTGATATCCAGGGACACAACCCTCAGTGCAAGCACCAATGCCGGAGATTGACAACTGACATGAGTGATTTCTGCAGTTCCTGCTGCATTCTGAACTGCAGATCTGATCAAAATACCCAGGGTCACAGCCTGTGAGGCAATGCCCTGTACTTCTGTCACAGTCTGAACAGTGCTGGTTATACTTGCACTGGTCGCCTGAAATTGAAAAGACTTCAATATTTGATAATTGATACTATGGCTTCAGTACCCTGTAATAAGAGCATATGTCACATTAACAGCATACACTAACTTCTTATTCATTAAGGCAACGATATGTCGTCAGCAGACCACATTTAAGAATATGCAAGCAGTTACTTTGTTACATCAGGCTTTATTTTAAGACAAATTCTGTACATGATCCACTGACTGAAATCAGTTTATGGGACAACTTTACTTATAAGAGAATGCGAGAAAAGAAGACAAAATACTAGTATATGAGACAATTTGAAGCTAGAACTCTTACCTTTCGAAGAAATTATCAGATACGTCATACATATGAACTTCAACAGTGTCATGATGTGTTCTGTAAGCTCAACACAACAGGAATACGTACAGTTGTGTGTTAGTGGAAGCTGTGCCACACTGTCCGGTTTTCAGCTGGGTTTGTGTGTGTGTGTAAAGTTGGTTTGTCCTTATTAGCCGCCTATGACTCACTCTCTTTTAAAAAGTTTCTTTTTCCTCATTAGCCGGAAAAAATGAATTGTGCAGGGTTATGATAACCACAACCACGTGATATGTTTCCTTTATGAGTAAACATATTATGCTCCATACACTAGGATGATTTTATATCTATTTCAAATATTAACCTACACACTGAATAGAAAACTTATCGTATTTGAATTTAGTAGTGAGGATTTGCACAATCCCTCTAAAAAGAACAAAATGAACAATAAAGATAATGGATGACATCGCTCATATTGTGTATCAATCCATGAGATAGGTGAAATGCTCTTCAATGTGAAAACCTCCACAAAAAAATCTCTGAATAATATAACATCTGAAAAAAGAGAATATGTCTGTGCTTTGTATTTCCATGAACTATATACTATTACCTTTTATCATATAATGGGTAGGTTTCTCGGCAGGATAAAGCCAGCGGATAAAAACGATATCTGTTGGGGTCATATGCGGATAGAGATGCAAATATCAAAGGTCAAGTAGGGACTACTCTCACTGTTTATAAGCAAACATGGCCTCGCCCTCGTCATTCGGCGATGGAGTCAGAATTAACGATCGTGAATCTGGATAAACTACAGGGATAATTGCTATCATTATCAAAAGAACAGTCTAATATACTGAAAATCAGTGTCTCGCTGTGACGTAGCTAAGGGATTTTATAAGTTTTGGCAACTTTGGAGATATAAATTTCGAAACATTTGCGACGGCACGAGGCCTAGCCAAGTGGGATCAGTAGCCATATCTATGCTTGTAGAGTACTAGACCCCTGCGGCTTGAAACCTTCTCCACATATTAAAATAGTTGGATTTGGCCGAAATATGTTTGAATTGTTACCTTGTTTAGTTTTGTCGCTGTGTGTACATCTGACTACACTTCTTAACGTTATGACAGGACAGACCGACTGTCAACAACGTTTGACCGTGGCCGTGACGTCTCATAGACTAGGGTTAGAGTAGCTTCCCTTTGACAAAGGGCAGTTACTCTAGCGGACAGACCGATGGATTGCCGCGAAAGGAAATTAAAAACAATTGTTGTTTTGCGTTTATGTTGCTTCGCCACTGTATAAAAAATAGATTTCAGTTGGAACTATTTTGGCTACTGTCACTGTCCGACTGACACATCACTTACCCTATGACGTAATAAATATTAATGCGCGCATTCCAGGAAAACTCGCAATGTTTCGGTAATGTTTGTGAAAGAGTGAAAGCGATTTTGATGTACAGAATTAAAGAATGACATTATATGATAAAAAGGTTATCAGGCTTGTGTAGTTGGGGATGGTAAATATCCTGTATTAGGAATAAACACTATGTATTTAGCTCGCCAAGGCTCGCTAAATACTATGTTTATTTCTAATGCAGGATATTTACCATCCCCAAACACACTCGCGTGATAACCTCTATTGATACTTGTGTCACATTTAATTAATTTTGACACATTGGTGTATTCTTTACAATACGATGGTTTAAAGAAGACTATGTATATGAACCTATTTACATTGAGTGATCGGTTAGTCCCCAGTCTGTCCTCATTGGACATTTTGGTTTGAAATAAGGCTGGAAACCTCGTTGCATGTCCGCTGATAAAACCAGTCTCAGTGGTGCTTATGAAAGCCGTGTACTATTTATTTTCTTATCATTTCTATGTTAATCATGCCTTCTGAAGGTTGGAAAGAATATGTGTCCAGTATTTATTTTAATCCCAATATTGGTATCTTGAAAATGTCTTTTGGTATTTCAAATATGCATAGTAAAAGGCATTCCTTCCGTTTCAGGTATTGGTTCAACGATGATGCGACTCTTCCAACTTGTGCTGCCATTCTGTGAGTAACCTGTGTAAAATGATAACTGGAAATGAAAACAAATGATATATACACGCATAATAAATTGGCACCTCTTTCTATACCAATTAAACAACAGACACTATTGATGAACAAACTGAATAAGGATTGATCTGAAAGTAGTACCACTAGGTAAAAAGAATTTAGATGCTTAAGAAGCTTTTATGATAAGAAGAGTAAATTTTGGTCAGTGGATTGGAAAAAAACCCCGTAGTTTGCAAATTTAGATGTTAAAGCCAGAAGCTTTAGTGATAAGAACAGTAAACGATTCACATAACAATGGATTATCCAGATGTTGATATTCATGAAGATGATCTGCTAGGATTATCATTTGATGCTCTATTTCAGTCGTGGCTGTCCAGGGCTACACAGCATGTAATTGGGGCTTATATGGCGAGCACTGCAACCTAACATGCCCCCAGAACTGTGCCCGTCTTTCTCCGCTTGATGTTCCCTACTGTAACACGGACACGGGGAAGTGTTCTGAGGGATGCCAGCGTGGTTGGCATGGTGATCTGTGTAATCAAGACTGCAGCCGGAACTGTCTAGAACAGAGATGCAACCATCAAACTGGGCACTGTACACTTGGCTGCAGTGGAACTAACACAGGCTTTTTTTGTGATGATACTGGAGGTAAGATTATTCAAAAGATTTCGCCTGATGTGGCACAGTTTGGACAATTCAGCTTTCCGAATTTATCCTGAACTGAATTGAAGCTTAAAATCTCATCAACACTCTGAGGTCTACACTTCCAGAATAATAAGAATTGAGCTTTATGTTAATGAAATGGTACACAATAGTTAAATAAACTATTTTTGTTTAAACTGTGATGTTGATAATCAGAACACTAAGGGTCATTCGTAAAAAGGAATTTTAAAACTTATCTCACACTATGCATATCTCTTTCTTCTTTCGATTCTGACGGGGCGGTCGGGTACCTCTAGTGGCTCAAGCATCACGCCGAGGACCTGGGTTCGATTCCCGACATGGGTACAATGTGTGAAGCCCATTTCTGGTGCCACCCGCCGTGTTATTACTGGAATATTGCTAAAAGTGCCGTAAAATCAAACTCACACACTCACTCACTCGATTCTGGGTCAAAACGTATCTAAAATATAGGTTTCCAGCTTCTAAAGTTAATTAACCCTGTTATACCTCACATCGCAATGGTCACCTCCCAGATCTGGGTCATGCGCTATGCATGCTGGGTGACCTTCTTGCAATGAACACGTGTCTATCCGAGTCAGCTCATTCTCTTTCAAATCGCAATGCAGGGATGACGTGTTGTTATTACAGGAATCCATTTTGGGTTTTTCTTTTTCGCTTGCAAGCGATCTTCATATTTTTGTCGTCTAATTGCCTGCAAATTTACTTATATCCCTGTTTGGGATAGTTATTCTTTATAAGGGACGAGCAGTCCACACGGAGACCTGTCTGCACTTTGAGCAGACGTGTTTTCTCTTGCAATGGAAGCACGTGGAGTCAAAGAAGGCACGTGTCCAACCCTCTGCAGGCAAGGTCATGCTCACAGTGTTTTGGGACCAGCACGGAGTAGCGATGATGGATTTCTTGGCAAAGGGAACCACAATTACAGGAGCTTATTATGCTTCACTGCTGCGGAAATTGCGGGACGCTATCAAGCTTAAGAGGCGTGGCATGCTGACCAAGGGTGTCCGTCTCCTGCAAGACATTGCTCCAGTACACAACTCTCATGTTGCCCAGACAGAAGCGCGGTCCTGTGGCTATGAAATCCTTCCACATCCTCCTTACTCTCCTGACCTTGCAACATCTGACTTCCACCTCTTTCCAACCATGAAGTCATTTTTGGAGGGAAAACGTTTCACAGATGATGAAACACTGATTTCTGAAGTCAAGTCCGGGTTTAAGAACTCCATAAAACGATGGGAGAAGTGTGTAACTCTTGGTGGTTCCTATGTGGAGAATGACTAATACCTATGCCAAGTTTCATTCCACTAGGTCCATCGGAAGTGGGTCAGGGGAAATCTTTAATGAACACCCCTCATAGTAGATGTCCTTCACCTAAAGATAGGAAGAGTTCTACTTCACCTACTCGTCGTACCGGCTCCCCATCGCCACCTCCGGTTCAACGCCCTTCCTCTGAATCACTCCCGCAACATCACAAGCTCCATCATCCCTACATCATGGATCCCTCGCGAGCTTTCTGCTATTCCAGCAGAACAGATTCATTCTCTGTTTCAGGCTGTAACAGCAGCATATCTTTCCCCAACCGGCACCTGCTGTACCAAATACGGTACCTCCATCTGCATCAACACCCACTACATCCCTTTCAGTGGATGACCCACCAGATTCAGAGTCATGAGACCACTATACCTCCCCAGCTTCCTCTTCTGGGAGCTTTGACATAGCAGATCCGATTGCTGTACTTATCTGGATAGCAGATAAGTTACAATTGTTAAAAAACACTTCAACGGAGGACACTTTATCATCATTTGTTATGCCTTCAGCCTCGTCGCCCAACATCACACTCCCTCTGAGACCAGTCCTACAGGATATGGCCACCCATTTAGACAAAGCATTTGGATCCTTTCACCATCTTCTTTATCGGCTTTAATCTCCAATCTTTGTATTGGCAGGTGCAGGGACTCATGGCTTGTCTACGATTGCTCTGGAACTAGATGGTGACATCGCAACATTAGCTCCTAAGCGACCGTACTCAGCTTCTTCAGTGGATGACAGAGGCCTCGTTCACCTTGACACCACTGTTGGAAGGACCCTCCCGTTGGTCTCCACTATTTTATCAGCAACTGAAGCACTTTCTGTCACTACTCTTCGTAGACGTGGTGTGTTACAACATTGCTTATTTTAAGATCAATTTAAGAACAGGCTGAACCAAATGCCATGGTCAACACCCTCCCTTTTTGCTGGGGGCATACAGAAGATCGTCCATGAAGTCCAAAGAGACACTTCCTTGAAAGTCACTGCTGACTTACTTCGTCTCCAGGGAAATCAACTGGAAGAACAAAGGAAAGACCGAAGACGACCAACCTTTACTCCCTCTCAACAAGACCTTAGAGAAGTTTTGAGTAATAGGTCTGCTTCTTTTCGTGGCTGTGGCCAAGCACGCCAACATCAGCGAGGAGGGAAATCAGGTGGACGCACCGTCCCCTTTTCAGGGACTAAAGGAAACACTTACTCTCCTAAGCCAGAGACACTAACCCTAGATATACATGACGGGTACTTACACGTCCCTATCTTGGCAGAGCACCGCCATTTTCTTTGGTTTGTGTTCCTAGGCCAACACTACCAATGGCGAGTGCTCCCATTTGGTATTTCTTCGCCCCGTGGCTTTTTACTCGCCTCACAAAACCCTTCGTCTAGTTCCTAAACACTCGAGGCATCTTTGAAACGTACATCGACAACTGCATTTAAGCCAACAAGGATTCGAACACTGTACTACATCACCTTAATTTTTCCCAACGCCTACTTCATCAAATAGGTTGCATCTTCAGCACACAAAAAGTTCGAAACTATTCCAAAACAACGTCTCCAGTTCATCGGAGTCTGGGCAAAATGTTTGTACCCCACTATCGTTGGGAGAAAAGCCAATGCCTCGTTCCATTGGCACTCAAACAGCCACTTTCCTTATGTCAGTGGCAACAACTTCTCGGTCTCCCTCACCAAGAGAGGTCAACTTCAAATACGGCAAATCCAGTGTCAGGTCCTAATATCTCTTGCAAACCATCTACACCCACACCTAAAAATGGTGGTTAACTCCATCAAATGTCTGCGAAGGAGTCTCCTTGCAACCATTCACCCCGAATCTCCACCTGTTCTCCGGCGCCTCAACCGTGGGATGGGGAGCTCATTGCCAAGACCTACAAGTGGCAGGGTGGTGGTCACTAGAAGAAAGCCAGCTTCACATCAACGATCTAGAATTCAAAGCAGTGATTCTGGCAGTGTCTCATTGGTCAACACTCCTTCAGTCCTCCACACTAATGATTCAGTCAGACAACCTTCTTTAAACTTCGACTCACTCAACATTCAAGTTCGAGCAAGACACATATTCCCGGCATCATCAACTCCCTGTCCCAACCCGACAATTCATCTCCCATGGAATGGCGACTACATCACATGATTTTTCAGTGGATTTGCCAGTTATTTCCGTGCCTAGACGCTAGGCAACCTGCTTCAATACTCAGCCATCCCAGTTCGTATCTCCTATCCCAGACCCGCTAGCCTGGGACCACAATACGTTAGCAATCCCATGGGAAGGATCTTCTGCATCAACCACACTCTCATCTACGTCATCCGTCGCCAACAACCCTCAATCTATGAGTTTGGCGCATTTACAGAAATCATTGATTGCTAAGGGTTATTCTGAACGAGTGGCCAAGAACACACCTGCCACGGCATCCCCGCAACAAATTGCTGAATACCTTCACTTCATCATCTCGTAAACTAAAAGGTTCGAATCTAGCTACCTACTTAGCTGCGATCAATTCTGTCATCACAACTACAATTGGCACTAAGATTTCTACAATCAACGAATTACAATCATTGATCAGATCATACAAGTTGGCGGACCAAACATCACGTTTTCGACCACCAACTTGGGATCTAAACATCATACAAGCCCCTTGCGGAGAAAGATTTCGAACACATTTCTTTGAAGACAGTTTTCCTTCTGGCCATTGCAATGGCGGCTCGTGTGAGTGAAATTCACTCTTTAGATGTTAACAGAGTGCGTTTCGGATGAACTTCACATGGGAAAGTATTTTGGGGAATATCATGGGATTTCATCGCCAAAAATCAACTTCCTGTGTCCGGTACGTGCACTTCGACTCTATCTGGAAGCGGTGAAACCACTTCATGGATTACATAAGAGGTAATTCATCCCGCTCTCTGCGGCAGCTACTACGGAAGTATCCCGTACCACTATCTCGTTTTGGATACGCTCAGTGATCCTTCGAGCCTACACCTTCGCTGGCCTACATGTTCCAGTCGGATCTAATCCTCACGGAACCCGTGCTGTCGCTTCCACCATGGCTCTTCACAGTAATTGCTCCTTGCCCGTATTTATGGAGGGATGTTTTTGGAAATCCTATACCGTGTTCGCATCCCATTACCTCCGAGACATCTCAGTGACGGACGTTCAAGGCCTTCTCCAGTTTTGACCCTTGGTACTCGCACAACAGACCTCCAAGACACACCTGCGCAGATAGGGAGATGTAACAGCAGATTTTCATTACATTACATGCATCTCTATTTGTAATAAACATTTGTTTATTGGTGTTTATTGTATTCATTCGGGCTGAGTATCCGGTTGGAGGATATAAACACTCGTCTGTAGAGACCTTGGTCTTCAACTTGAAGTCATCATTAGACGCGGCTTATTTCGGTGTCCCGATCCCTTATTTCAAACACCTCTACTTTAGGTATGTGTGTTGAGAAACGGATGATGATCCTTTTGTGGATATTGTCGATCGTTTCCTCTTCTCGCTTTGTTCCCATTGATTCAATCACTGAGATGATTGAGGGTTTGATGAAGCAATAAAAGAGATGCTATCCGGGTCCAACCTATCGTCCTCTGGTGATGGGAATACCCTGTCTTGTAGATTCGACGACTGGATGCATACTCTCTCGAATATAAGTCATACTCGTTCGTTTTAGACACATGATTAACGTTTCCTTACGTTTGAACATGTTACACATATTGTACCCGACTAATTGTGTTTAAATTGTTCGCGTATCAGAATCTCTACATTCTTTGAGAGTGTTCTTCTTATCCCTCTACGACACTTAACTGTGTTACTGTAATAAGTATTGTACCACTGTTAAGTTCCAGCTTCCTGGTAAATATCCTACGGTTGTGATCTATAGACAAGGGAGTTGTGCCCTACCATCCAACTGTGGGATAAAATGCATAGTGTGAGATAGGATAAGTTTAAAATTTGAAAATTTGATTAAAATTGTGTATTTATATACTTATTCTATCTCACACGTTATATGCCCACCCGCCAATACCCACATCGCAATTCCATAGTCTATATGCTCTTGAAAGAGAATGAGTTGACTGGGATAGACATGTGATCAGTGCAAGAAGGTCAACCAGCATGCAGAGCGCATGACCCAGATCTTGGAGGTGACCGTGGCGAAGTGAGGTATGACAAGGTTTATTAACTTTAGAAGCTGGAAACCTTTATTTAAGATACGTTTCTACTCAAAACCAAAAGAAGAAAGAGAAATGCATAGTGTGAGATAGGATCAGTATATAAATGTACAATTTATAATATACTGAACAACATTGAAAACGCACCAGCAATAAATCTTGAAATATTACAAAAACAACTTGCGCAATAACTGATTTTGATTAGAACAGACACAGACGGATAATTAAGAAAGACGACAAAGGAAACAGGAATACCACACAGTAATTACAATAACGTCATCAGTGTAAGGAAGACACATGGGGTTAAAATGAAAAGTCAATATCTGGTATTTCCGCCATTGACAGCAACACAGACCATGCAACGTCTTCTCATTGATCGAATAAGTCTGCGAATAGTGTTCTTGGGGATAGCATCCCACTCTTGACGTCGTGTATCTTCAAGTTCTCTCAGGTTCTGTACTTGCGGATGACGTGAAAGGCGTTGACCCAGGTAATCCCATAGATGTTCAATTGGCGATAGATCAGGTGACAGGGCTGGCCATGGAAGCAGAGGCACATTATTGTTCGCTAGGTTCTGTGTTGAAACACATGTTGTGTGTGCTCTTGCATTATCTTGCTTGAAGGTGTGCATATCCTGGTGCTGATGAAAGAATGGGATGACGTGATTTGCCAATATGTTATTCCTGTGGTAAAGGGCATTAACTCTTCCACGACAAACATGGAGCTCTGTTCGATAGTTATGACTGATGCCGCCCCACGGTGTGGAGACGTCGACGTACGGTGTCAGCACTGATCAATTCCGCCGGCCTTGTACTGGTGCTGCAGTCCTGGTAGCCGGAAGTGTACGATCATGAAGATGCCGATGAACAATATGGCGATCCTGACGTGGTGTAGTTACACGACCTGTTGAATGATGTCATTGAAACCGTTGTGCAACGACTCTACTTGACGTACCAACTTGCCAAAGGCATGTTCATGTTCCTCTGCTGTTAATCTTGTGTCAGTACCCTTTACGTCTGCAGCAACAAGTGATATCGCTTTTAAAAGTCTGTCTTTTATAGCCCTATTCTGCATGCTTCCCGTGAAACAAAACACGTTTTCGATGATGCGCAGGCAATTTGTTGCATTTTGGCGATTTCGCTCACAAAAAATTTAGGAATGTGTTCTGTCGAGCTGTCCAGAACGTCGTATATTACTCATTCACTTATATATTTTCATATGACTTAGGCCCGGATAAAAATACATCCATTTTCATGGTGGTGGGTTTTCAATGTTGTTCAGTAGATAATTTTGAAATTGTGACCGGAAACTAAATACCGGTACATTTTAATTTCAACATATAACTTTCAACATTGTAACTATAGTGTCATGTCATCTAACTTTGCTAATAATATCCAACATAACTCTAAATAATCTCTGATATAGTTTAAAATGTGCAAAAATATAATAGTAAATTTCAGATTGGGTGTGCTTTCATTTTTCACAAACTGTGCTGAACCTAACTGTATCTGTGGTAACCACATTTTGTAAGAAAAGCCCCATGGGTCAAGGAATGAAGTTTTCCTTTAGTTTGTTATATGGGATAGTTGTGTACAAAGTAGAAAAATAAAAAGAATTCACAAAATGGAACTTGATTCTTTTCTGAGATTGCAAAAAGTCAAGCAAACCTTTAGAATTTTAAGAACCAAATTGGTATTAATACCACTTGTCTCAAATTCTTTCTGTTAATATGAAGAAAGCCCTCCCTTGATTGTATTAAGGATTATAGTTAGTCTTTGAGACAGGAATCGGTGGTACATTTGTTAGACCCAATAATACATTTCTCTCTTTGAATGGAATTTTATGAAGCTTTAAAATCCCGTACAAGAGAGGAATGGACATGTCTTCAGGTTTTAAAGTCAAGTCAAAAGTAGACAGTACTGATTTATGGTTTTGGCAGATGCCTTCCTCAGTTAACATACCGGCCTTATATGTGGCATTATTTGATATGCCATTTATACCTTTGATTAAACAATTAATGTAGTGCTGTTTACATATAATGGTCAAGTTATTTGAGGCCTTGTCAGTCGGGACAACTACAAACTTTTCATGTCGGGCAGCCAGACAGCTGACTGGGACAGAGTGGGTTTATTCCAATTCCGTTTCCTCTTTTTAAGTTGGTGCATTCTACCAATGGCAACATCACGCACTGACTTAACCAACTCTTAAAGACATTCAACAGTTTCCTTTCCTCTCTTCTGGCCCATTTTTGGCATATTCTTTGGCAGCATCAATAATGATTTGGAAGTTATGGTCCCAAATGGAAGGACGTTGCTCATGGAATCTTGGTCAATATTTGAATAACTGAAGAAGGTTGTTTCGTCAACAATAGAGAAGTCACATGTGATTATATGGCCTGCACAGTATGATGAGTCTTGGCAGCCAAGTAGTGGCATTTACATCGTGAACAGGCAAGTCCACGTTCTGCAACATATTCCTAAAATGGCTTGCTTGTTTGTGGTTTAACGCCGCACTCAGCCATATTCCAGCTATATGACGGCGGCCTGTAAACATCATGACAATTAATCCACGCCATTGGAACACGAAGAAATGCATGAACCAAGTCAGAGAGCCTGACCACCTGATCCTGTTAGTCGCCTCTTACGACAAGCATAGTCACCTGTTATGGCAAGAATTGGTTGCTGAAGACCTATTTTCTTCCACGGATCTTCACAGGTCTGTTCCTATAATTAAACAACCTGGATGAATTGTTTTCATCCAGGAGAATGAAACTGTTGAGTGGTTTCTGAAATTTGAAATATTGTGGGACATTCTGGGAAACTGTTTTTTGTCGAACTTTAAAAAAACCTATCAATCATGGTGCCTGAAAATGTTTTTTAGTGCTAAACGCATTAGAAATTGTTAAGATGCTCTTGAAAATCTGAAGGTTTCCTCATGGGCAATGGTTACACCAAGAATAGTCATAATCACCTGACCTGTTGTGATCAAAATAGACATTTACGTGAACCTTGATCTGCTACATTTTCCACAATTTCATTTTAGACCACGTGAAGGATAAATCATTGATACTTGTATTGATATTGCTCAATTTAGGTTTGACAAATGAGTTTGTGAAAAGATCCACTAAAATGTCAAAACCATCTATTATATTAACTGTTAACTCTTTTGTTGCCACACATGGTCTTAAACGAACCATTTGGTGTAGTCACAATTTGCCATTGCCAAAGGCTGGAGAGAAAATGACTTTAATAAAAAAAGAATGGTATAAATGTTGTTTCAGCTGAAGGGATACATTTAAAAAAATGTTATGCATTCTGTTGAGAGTTATGAACTGATGAGCGCAAAAGTAGATTGACCCCTCCAACTTTATTTTTCATAATCGCTGCTCCTTGTCAAATACCATACATAAAAGAAGAATGCCATGGTGGCCAATTCTCTGTCAAATATATCATGTGATAATAAATCTCAGAACTTAAAACTAACACTATACTCTCTAGATTCGCACACAGCTGGATATCATCAAAAGAAGAAACACACATGGAAAAGATCATTATCAAAGTGGAAGGGTGAATTAAGAACACCTCTCAACAAAGTGGAACATTTATTGTGTCCTACTCTTTTAACAGTGGAAATACACACCATTGTATGAGGATAACGTAATTAGGGATATAATAAAGTGCGAAAAAGAAGTTACGTAATCATGTATCTGATACTTTGTTTGTCCAGACTGTGGTCGTGGCTGGTATGGCGATCTGTGTCAACAACCCTGCAGCATCAACTGTCTGGAGGAAAGATGCCACCACACAACTGGAGCCTGTATACTTGGCTGCAGTGGGACTTACACAGGGGAGTTTTGCAACACTACAAAAGGTACGAAGATACATTTGCTTAACATGCAATACAACTTGTCTCATATGTTGGGACCATGTTGGGACAAAAACAATACCACTAAAGGGAGGTAACTCCGAATTACTAGCTGTCAGTGTCACCCGCAAAGGGCGTTATTGTACGAGCGCCTCGAACAATTTACTGTCACTTACAAGTATCAGAAATATAGTTACACAATATACTGCCACATAACATTAGATCCTAAAATATGATGGATCTTTGGGCATAAACAATATGAATTATTATCCACGTGGTCAAGACACAGGTGATTAGATATTAAATCGGTACACTGGCGTGTCTAGAGGGTTGACATCGTTTTATCCCCTTTGATCGGACAACTGTGACCTAGGTCACACCTGAACTGTTGTTTTTCCTTCATAATTTTTTTTCTTTGGTATGGTCAAGTTGAAACGACTTTCATTTGGTAACGAATATACTGGACAAAACCAACATCTCCCTTAGACCAACCCAATCATCACTTATATATGAGTGGAATTTTGTCAAAATTTATGGACGAGTTCTCTCTATTGTTCAGCCACTTGGTGCCTAAAATGTGAAAACATGTGAATTGAGTCATGTAGGGTGGTATGGACTTGCATTGGTGTCCTGGACTTTATTGTCCACACCTGTTTCTGTTTATCTCCTTTAAATGTGACACGGAATGACATTTTTATGATATACCAGGTGACAATGTGTATCAGTATGATTGTCTAAACATCGACAATTTCATACATCAAAATTAAAATCAAAACACCTGGAGAAAAAACTCTATTTGAGATAAATATTTTGGAGAAATTGGAGAGTTCGAGAATTTGAGAGTTCTGAACGATATTTTCTTCATTGACGTGTTGGTAATAAATAAAACACTACGCTCGTTCTCGCAATAGTGAAATGTTATCTATTTATTAGCTGTTTGTGTCAGTACTTGTATGTATACACTTCTTTGTCTCCACTAGTTGTGAACAACAAGGAAGACGCAAACAGCCTGGATGCCATACTGGAACTTGTCTCACTGCGTGTAGCAGTCGCAGTCACAGTCACAGTTGCAGTCGCAGTCGCAGTCGCAGTCGCAGTCACAGTCACAATCATTGTGTTCATAAGGTAAATATCGTAGTTATATTCAGTTTTTGAACATTTTATGTGTAATTGTGAATTTATGTTTGTATTTCCTATTATATTCAAATACACATACTAACGAACATGCAGATTATGATGACAATGTTCAATGTTAATATTCCGTAAATACTTCAGTTTCAGCAGTACTGTAATTGAATCAAAGTGGGAATAACAGAAACTATGGTACTGTAAAGTTGTATGATCCTCTTGCTGGCCAAAAACGTTTATTATAATTTTAAAAATGACATTCCAAGTCCTTACTCAGTAGTTATTGTGTCACATGCCTTGATGACAGCACTCTGCCTTGAGCGGCCATATATCCAGATGTGAAACCATTTCAACATGATTGGGATATTCTTAAGGCCCCTTTACACAAGGGCTGCGACCTTTGTGCCACCTTTGTGCAATCAAAAACTGGTCAGGATGCTCAATGGTCGCCTAAACCCGGAAACAATGTTTTGAAACACAAAGAAAAAAGCTGAGCACACCCCTATTTCTGAATCATGACAAATGGCAAAACTCATAGCATGGGATGACTGACCACAGGAGCTGGGCGATACCAATGTCATCTGATAGAACAAACATTTGACAACAAATAAAAAAGATATTGGTGAGTTGGGATTGAAATATACTGACAAAAAAATCATGGTAACACAGGTAATGTTTTTGACCTTAGACAATACCTCTAAAAAGTATGGAGCTGCAGGATTAAGTAAACGAGTTACGTTTGATGTTTCATGTGACAACGTTCCTTAAAGTCTCTACTTGACATGACACGTGAAACAGATCAGTAGCGGGTATAACCGCCACATGCCCGGAAGACGCATTCCACCCTACGTCTCATGCCTCAGACGTTGGATCTGTTGATGGGTCAACAACAACCACTCCTGATGCAATGCTGCTTCCATTTGTAAATCTTGGACAGGAGGATATCATGCCAGTATGCGCTGCCTCATGATATCCAAAACATGATCAAGGGGGGTAAAATCTGGGCTCATTGCTGGCCAGAGTCGTTTTTGCATTGGCCCTCATGTTATTTTACGACTGAATGTGAATGATGAGGCCTTGCATTATCATCCATGTACTGAGGTCGAGTAGCAAGAGGGTGGGTGTCCAAATGAGGAACGACGACTGGCTTCAAAACATCCCGGATGTACTGAGCCCCTGTTAAGTTACCCCTTATGGTGACCAAATCCAACCTGCAATCATGACAGATACACCCCAAACCATTACCTAGCCCCCGTCGTATCCAACAGTGGGTTTAATGTTAGTGGGTTTAATGTTCCTGGGGGTGTAGGCCATGTTCAAGTGCCTCCAAAATGTCATTTTCCATTAGTGATGCGGAGCAGAAAGTGACTTTCGTCTGACCAATTGATCCGTCAACAAGTTCTCAGATTCCAGTTCTGTCATGCAGTACTCCATGCTAAACGACCAGCTTTGTGGTGATCTCTTATCACGGGACGCTTTATGGCTCGTCAAGCCCTCAGTCCTGCTGCTTTCAGCCGGTTTCAGACGAGTACTTTTTAAAAAGTATTTTCGGCATATGAGACGAAGAACGTCTTTGCGATGTGTCGTCACAGGAGGTCTTCCGGATATGGGACGCTTCTGTACCTTTACCGTTCTGAGCAACCAACTTCCTCGGCCACCTCTGTGTGACTTTATTTTACATGTTCGAACATTCACGGCGACCATGGCGTCCATGGCGATGTCTGAACCTCTTGTGTATCACCTTGGAACGACCTAGGCAACCATTCTGCCTCATTTGAGCCTCGAACGACGACCTGGCAAAAGCAAATCTTATGGTCGCACACGGGAGGCACAAAGGTTGCCATCCTGTGTAAAGGCCTCATTAGACGTTGGCTGCTGGCAATGGATCCACTAGTGTAGAATTTGAGCAAGGCGAAGCCACGCTTGTGTGCTACCTCTATTCATTCCAGTTCCGTTAATTCAAAAATGCTCTCTTCCAAAGACCATGAAAACTCGCACACAAATCTCGACTGTGTTAGAGCCAGAACAGTCATACTTCTTTCGCTCTTGTAAAATGCCGTAAAATCATGAAACTGAAAGATCTAAAAAATATACAATCCCTCATGTCACACAAAGTCGACTCGTCTTCAGCTAAAACAACCATTCCCATAAACCGACATGTGAAACAGCAACCTAGATTGGTGCTGTCATTTTCTTATTAACACAAGACTGTCAACAGCTGCTCTGGCAATGGTTAGTGACGAGTAAATTCGACTTAGGTCAAGTTCAGCCAAGTATGTGATCGGGATGAAGATGCATTCATCTCAAATTTGTATCACTGTTACAAAAACGCTTTGTTCCAAATTATAAATATTAGATAGCGAGTCTGCATTAAGACCTCAGATTTCAAAACGCAGTAGGTGTATCTCCTAATTTATACATTCATTCTTGCTGAATTAGAAATATTAGAGTGACGTGTTATATGAGAGAGCCCAAAGTTATTATTACCCATGTTAAAAATCACAACACCTACATCAATTTCTTTTACCCATGTTACAGATAGTTGCATTAATGATCTCAGTATATGTGTCTCGAAGCTATGTCTGCATAACAACAAAGCCCTACACAAGCTGTACTGTCTATACACCTGCTTACATAATTCCGATCAGATTAAACAAAACGGCAACCATACTATTAGTATACACCATTATGTAGCTGTCTTTTTCAAATGTATATTAAAATTTTATTTTGCATATATGTTGTTAGATGCTAGGCGTAACATACGTTTTTGTTGTACTATGTGTTGAGTCCATTTACTGTTGAGTTTCACCCCTGGAGGGGATCTGGCGGTTTGGATAACCCTGGGCCGGTAGCCTCAAGAAACGATAAACTCGAGTTACTAGCTTAACTTTGGTTGTATTTCGTTTTCTCGACTCTTGTGCAGGATAAATGGCTGAAACAAACAAAACAGCCAAAAACTACAACCCAGCTAGCACACCTACATCGGGCCGACGTTGGCTTTACATCAGCAACCGCCGGCAATATTGGCATCGGCAAACTGCAGCGGTCCGCTGTCGGGCCAATGCTGGTGATTGGCACTGACACTATTGAACCGGATATGATTTGATCTTGTTATGATAACATAACAGAAATAACAGATTTGTCGATTACAATGTGACAAACCTTAGATCAAATATAATTACGAACAATACAATAATTCTATTCAAACTCAAAATATTAACTTTATTTTAAATTTTTAAATTAAATAGATCAAGCACATTCACTGACCCTTTTTTGCTGCACATATGCAACAGACAGAGAAGATACAGACGGGATTCGTCAAATCTTACAATTCATTCAGCAAAAAAAAAGTTTTCACAACATGCTTCAAGGGAAGCTACTCTTGTAATAGAGGGCGCTGTTACTCACGCGCGTCTTTTCAAGCAGACGACGAAAGGATGATGCGTGGAGGGCTGAGGGAAAACCTATTTTTCGGTAAGTGTTTACTTCATTTCTGTATTTACGAGGTGTTCATTTCATTTTCAAACCTTACAATTGAAACGAGAAACAGTGCTCATTCAAAAGTGGTACCGTGAGTAGAGAAATCTAGGCCTAGATCTATGTGTTTTGGAAGTTAGAGAAACACAGTCCTATCAATGTATCCTGCCTATTTTACGTCAGTGACAAAATCCGTGGACTATGTCGTGACACTGCATCCTCACTATATATTTGTTTTAACACCATATACATATTTCTAGCAAAACGTGGGGACAAGGGCAAATGCAAATCATGACAAGATATGTTTTATTACAATGTAGATTCAGCGATGTTCAACCCACGAGTGGCAATCTCGGGGTGAGAGTACAGCGGCAAGCAAATGAATAGCCAAACAATTACTTACATTAGTATTTTTGAATGAACATTGCTTCATTTGTCATTGTCGCAGTCGTATTTGTTAAGTGTGGGGATGGATGAGGTTAGGAAATTTATTACGCACTCGGATTTACAAGTCAATTCTGTGATTGATGTCAGCACAAAAAGCAGTGAACATGAAATTCATAACGAGGCTTTCGGAAACTTGCGTGTGCATGTCATGCGGTCTAGCTAATATTCATACTGATCGATGAACGGAGCTACACTGCCGAGTTCGGTTTTCGATCACCAAACAGTTGAAATAAAAAATTGTTTTAAAATTGATGTTTTTTGTCATAGTTACTTGCGAATTTTGAACATTTTCTGGATAAAGGGCGAAATGAAAGGACAGCTCTTTTTGTAAACGATCACTGTGTATTACAGGTGTGGGCAATTTTATCAAGATCTGCCTCGATACCTTCATAGACCTAGGCCTATAGCCTATAGCCTATATCGATCAGAAATCTTATACCGATGTATGGTATTCATTTTGTCATTTTGAGATATGGCTTTTTCAGAATCGATTACTAGTTTATATTTAGCAGATATTAACTACAAGAGAGTAAAGGTTAAATTAATAATTAAATACTTAATTTTAAGGTTTATACGGGAAAGGCTTCTACCGTACAGTTTTTCCCCGACTTGGTGTGTGTGTGTGTGTGTGTGTGCGGGGGGTGGGGGGTCTTATCAGCTTAAGAAATTTATGATGTACATTTGTGATGACATACTGAATAAAATATTTTTAAAATGTACTATTTCAAAGGTAATTGATGCTAAATATATATTACAAGACAGTTTAAAATGTCATTTATTTAATCAAAATTCAAATTTTTTGTAAAACTTTGATGATGAAGAATAGATACTGCAGTACAGATTCTTCAGGACATTATCCATGGTAGAAAAACACCCAGAGCCTTGTTTCAAATTTGATTTATTTTAACTAAAGATATATTATTTCAGTTTATCATTATCCCTTTTCCTATGTTTACAAGCAATGAAACTGTACATAAAATTACTTGTCCCCAATCCTCTCCTGCTATTTTTTATACCTTTGTATCTAATCTTTTAATGATAAACATTTATTTGCAGTTTTGGTTTACCACGAT